ATCGAACAGGTGGTTATTTTCACCTAGTTTCTCCCTTTCTCTCATCAACGCGAGGGTGTTTATTGTCGTGGCCGGTTAACGGGCTTTTTATCGCGCGTTTACGACCTGGAGTATATACATTTGGTATTTCCACGCGTTTGTTTTGTCGAGCTGTACATGTATATATATATATGTGTGTATCGATGGTTGTCAAAGTATAAATGTAACCGTCCTTTTTGACGATGTGTATTGTATGGGTAATTATTAATCAACAAAACGAATTAAAGAAAAAAACTAATTTGATTTTATACCAAAATATCGGTTAAGAATGTTTTTTATTTTTTTTTTTTCTTTTTTCTTCACTCGTAACAGCAAAATTCGGTACTCCAACGCGAAATCCGTCATTTCCTGGTTTTTCTCTCTCTACGAGATGGAAACCCCAAATGACCAAGCGAAACCATGTACTACGTAATTTCTAAGGGTTAGCTCCCATCCCATACATGTTGATAACATGAGCCGGAATGGGGATCGCCGATGGGTACCGTTAGTCTCTGGTATACGCTATTTCTTCTTATATACGGATGAATGTGAAATTTCGCCACCTGCGGATCGAGGCTTTTCCCTACCACGGCCACCTGGCGATGATCCATGGAACTACGTTTCCACTCATTTTCCCGCGCGTACTATAGTAATTTTTTCCCCCGTTCTTTTCCTACATTTCTATCGTGAACTTCGAGCGTTCATTGAAAATTCGGGGGAAAGAACTATCTTACGTTTACTGGGATTTTCTATAGTGAACGCACTCGTAGAGCCAAGTGACAGCCTAACCTTCACTGAAATCATCGATGTTTGTATTATTATAGCTCACTCACAACTACGTTGTTGTGTAGCTATAGCGATCAAGGGGGATTAGAATTTGAAGCTAGGAAGTAAAATTTTGTGTCCTTTCTTATGATGACAGTAACTGTCATACTATTTTCATAGTTGGGATAAGGTAAAGAGAATTTGAGTGTAACAATTAAGTCATAAGATTTCAAATTTTTTTCAAATCCTCGGTCTGAGAGTCCTGCAAAATGATTTTAGAGCTGCCAACATCGGTTTGTGGGACCACCCACAACCTCCCTCATCACTGTATTAGCCAGTTGTAGGCATCTGAATATTTATACCCTTGCATCACACCAAACTGGTTACTGCAATTTTTTCTAGCACTATCTTTAGGAAAGCAGTGTTAATGCATTTTCAATACATGACGATTTCCCGCACTCGTGTGATAGACTCGCACTCGTGGCCGGTGACAGTAACTCGTACCGTGCAATCAAACTCGTGCTACGCACTCGTGTGCTCAACTGGTACTCGTTCCCGTCAACTCCGGCTCCGTCTTTTCCGCACTTGTTACGTAGATAACTATTCATACATTATTATGTAGCTGTTAACCTCAAAATATTTATACCATGCAAGTTCAACATTCTTATTTATATACCCAGATAAATACACACAGTGCACACATACCAATATCTAATTAGGTATCACTCGGCTCTACGAGTGCGTTCACTATAGAAAATCCCAGTGAACGTGAGATTGTTCCTTCCCCCGAATTTTCAATGAACTGCTCGAAGTTCAGCGAGTGATGTCACGCCACCAGGCGAGTGAGGGCCGAACGTACACCATGTTTGTAAAGGGAAAGAATCTCTGTGTGTAGATAAATTTAAAAAAAATTGTATTCACACATGGTCAATAATGTCCTCCAATAGTAGAAAAGATCGAAGCAAGCAACAATAAAAAAAAAAAAAAAAAATAGTATCATTCTGATTTCTATTTTTGCGCTTATTCGTAACCACCAATAACCCGCACTCGTCTGCAAAGCAACAGAAAGTATGACAATCGCATCCGTCCGACATAAATATATACCCACACTCGAGATGCTAATTGAGCAGGAAGGCTGCACGCGCTTATTGGGCGTGCGATTAAAAGCATAAATCCCAACAGCAGCTTCGACCCTATTAAGGATTCCTATATATGTATATTTTTTTTTTCAAACGCACTACGCGATTTCTCGGAGCTCGAGAGGCGTTGTCGCCGCAGCCTCGCCTTGCATGCATAATAACCGCCGCGCGACGGAGTCTCTTCACTTTCGCCCTGTCGGCGGAGAAAACCACCGCGGACCATACGTCATTTCTATAAGTAGGGGGTACCTATAGAGCGAAATAAAAAAAAAAAAAAATAAAAAAAAAAAATAGGCCGAAGCTCAATGAAACGCACTTTCGTTCCGCTCTCCTTGGAGAAGACGATCTCCTCCCGGTGTTTAAACACGCGCGCTTTCTCGACACGCGATTTCCTTCGCGCACGCGACACTCCATCTCCCCGCGGTGTATTTTTTATGGATAAAAAGTGGAGCAGCATTTTGACCTTCGTCTCGAGATTTTGTCCTCGTCTCGTTTCAATTTCAAAACAATAATTCCCTCCCACCCGGAGCCTGTGTCTATATTGTACGCAGGTTCACGCGGAAGTTACGTAAATCGTTGTTTGCTACAATATACGGGTACCTACAAGTTTCGGAAAATCATTTTTTTTTTTTTTTTTTTTTTTCAATTAGAGGCTTGCATAGGTATCGCATTTCCGAGATGAACCCATGTGACTCTTGTAAAAAATAGGGCCTTTGACACAAAAAGTAAAATTATATAGAACCAAGTGATGTTGTTCGGCAAGTGTTTTCTCTGCACTTTTTACACAACACGAGTACCTCATCATGAGTTCTTAGGTATGTAGTTTTGAGGCTCGTGTAATACTTACTGCACGAGTACAAACTAAACAGCAACGCCTCCATACAGCAGCGCTTATGTTACCTTAATCAGATAAATTTATAAGTTTCAGTTATTTGCTAATCCTTTTTTTGTATCGAATTCAAGGATTTTATTGTTTTCCTTAAATCTTCTGTAGCGAGCTTCATTGTATATCGAGACGCGAAGGGACAAAAGTGGATGTTTAAGAGCACGTCGTATCCCAGAACTATCCCTCGACCACAATTTTGCTGAAAACATAAAAAAGGAGGCAAATAATAAAATTTCCTACATCTGATCAACTATAGTTGTCGAAACTATGTACACATATCAACGATTTTCATCCATTTGATGAAACTCACTGGTTGCCTGTACAAAAAAAAAAAAATAAATAAATAAAAACTCTCCTCAACCCGCAATAACCAAAGGATCAAAAACCCCGAGAAATTAATTTTTCTCCGTCCCTCTGTTTATCTTCGCTCGCAGATTTTTACCTGCACGCGCATCGGATAGGTATATATAAGTAGGTACAAACATAGCGTCGGAGAGCCGGGAGCTGCACACAGGATGAACAAAAAAAAAAAAAAAAAAAGGAGCAGTAGTGCAGCGCTATAGAGAGGAGGGGAGAGAAAAGAAGGCAAGGCAGATCACCTTGGCGCCCGTGGTATGCGCCCATTGGCGTATATAGTATTATACCTGTCTCTCCTTCGCGCGCACGCACGTGCACACACACACACAGGCGTTGCGTATATATGTATGTAAGAATCCAGCTGCTTTTTCTCTCTCTCTCTTATTTCTCGAAACTACCCGAACGGAAATTGTAAGTAGGTGATCAGTAGAGCCTACTTAGGCTGCCTCTCTTGCCAACTGAGGTCCTACGTTGGCAGCGTCAGGTGGCGTTTGGTAGGCCTTAAGTAGGGTGGGCTGCCTCCATTGACGTAACATAACCACCTTTCAATCGATAAATATAGATATGTACATATGAGACTACACATTGTATTATAATTGTACAAAAGTCATGCTTCATTTTAAACGAATCATATTTAATTACTTCATGAAAATTTTTCATCACGGCATTGTTGATCACGTGTAGTTACAAAAATATAACCCTAAGATAAGTCACCTTAAAAATATCTCATTCACAATTGATATCAAGTTTACAATATGAACATGTGATTCGTGAGTTAATTCTGAGAAACTATTAAATAATCACTGAGGAATTAATACAAATTACATGCTCACACTGCAGTTTACTTTTTTTTTCAAACATATTGATTCAATTAAATGATAGATGAACTGGATTTGACGGTGGACATCTATATGACAGTGTACAAGCTGTTAAATGTTAAATTTCATAATCTTAGTACGGTTTTTAAATAGTTTTCATTGAAATTTTTTGAAGCACCAATTATTATTTCTAATTCAGTACTTTGGGAAACTTTGTTTAGTTGACAACAAATTTAATGTCGATTAATTTTGTCAGTCTCATAATATATGTATAAGAAAACTTATTATAAAAAACACTTGTAACTTGTGTACCTGCGTGTAATTTTACGCTACACTTTACACTGCAACTGTAGCTGATATAACTGTATATACTATTCGAGAAGTAAGATAAAGGTAGGTTATGTAGGCTGCCTAATGAGTACCTCACGCGCGCCCCCTGACGCGCATGTGCTCTCAGTAGGCTGCCTAAGCAGGGCCTCATGAACTACAGAGGCAACCGACTTTCATTTCTGTTCGGATTATATACTTACCCGAGGTCAGATCGACTAATACAAATTCTCGAGCGACTCATTCGGCCATGCCCCCTTCTATACACCCTTGCGCTAAATGTTTTTCAAGAATTTCTCCTCCCCTGTACCCTCCGACTCCCAGGGTACAGATAAAGAATTTCGCGTTCACGCTCCAAAAAGTGTAAAAGGACTAGTCTATGATATATATACCCTCATCATTACCTTCTCCCGTAATCGTCGAAAAAGCCACGTTATTTCAAAGTGATGTACCGTGTATAGGGAAGGGGTTCGTTAACCCGTTGAATCGAGACTCACGTATACGCGAATCGAACGTATATTATACGGTATGTATACATATACGTGACCGCGCGGCGTTTCCTTCCTGCCGGTCGGTGTATGTATATATAATGCTTCCGTTGTCTCTCTCTATTGTAACCCCGTCACGCGCCGATCTGCAATCATCGACTCGAGCGATAAGTATTTCAATTTTTTCTTTTCTCCCCAACAGGAAAGCACCTCGTCCTGGTGACGGACCCGGAGATCGTCGACGAGGCCTACGCGTTCGACAACCCGTGCTTCAAGGACTGCACGCCGGCGGCCGGCAAACGAAGCCTCGAGCGGTCCGTGTCTCTGACGCTGCGCTCGGAGACCAATGCGACGACCCCGGTGACGACCCCGTTGACTACCAACGCCGCGCCAAAGTCCCCCAAGGATGCCAACCACAGGTGGTCGACTCCGTGGTCCAATTTTGGCAGGCTCGACAAGAGGCGCAACCTCGACGACTCGTGCCTTGGGGTGTGTTTTTTTTTTTTTACATCATCAAAAACAAACAAACAAATCTTGAGTTGCGATGAAATAAAAATTTTTGTCTGTTGCAAAAAAAAAAAAAAAAGGCCAAAATGGTGAACGTGGTGGCGCTGCGCAGCCGCGACTTCACCGGGCTCGGGTTCAACGTGTGCGGCAACATGCGCGAGGGTATATTCGTCAAGGACCTGCTGCACCGCGGACCCGCCTCCGAGTCCGGACGCATTCATCCAGGCATGACTTTTTTCCCTCTCACTACCTATTAGTTACAACTTAAATGTAGTTACAAGTACAAAATGGGCACATTTTTTCGTATACATAGTATAAATTTTACTTTTTTAGTGCATAGGGTCACAGTTGAGATTTTTTTACCTCTGATAATTGATTATTTTTATCTATACGAACTACTCAGCAGTAATACATTCGTTATACACATCCGTTATATTAATCAAAGTTTCGCTAATGTAACTGTTGGTGGCACCTGAAATAATATTTATATAGGCCACACGATTAAGATATCTCCCTTTGATTGGATCACTGATAAACATTTCGAAAGATAAAGTTGTAGAACTTTGGTTGGTGAAAAATCCCTCAACATCCAAAGAGTATATTTAAAGACTTGGTGAGAAAACAAAACAAAATGATAAGCGGAGGAGGAGGAGGACGCGACAGTCACCCGTGGATTTACCGTTGATGCGCGTACTTTTGTTTGCCAGGGGTATCTATATACTTATATCGTTTCTACGATTAAACTTTGGAGGGAAAAAAAACAATGTGTACACGTAATCTCTGTGGTTAAAAATCGAGCGCTAACGAGCGCCTTATATCTTATCCGCTCGCGCTTCATACACCGCGAAAAATCTTCCACGAGATGAAAAAGAACAATACGTGTATATATATATTCCAGGCGACCGGATAACGAGCGTGACGATAAGCTTCCGGTCGATGGTGTACGAGGACGCCCTGACGATCCTGAGCTACGCGTCGCCCTACGACGTGGAAATCGCGGTGGAGAGCGGCGGGGACGCGACCACGAAGCCCACGAGCCTCCTGAAGCGCAGCGTCGGCCCGAGCGCGCGCCACCTGTACCACCCGCTCTACCGCAGCCAGTCGATACCCGAGCTCTTCCACCAGCAACGCCCGACCACCTGGACCGGCAAGCACGCCGCCAACGGCGTCGCCCCCAAACGGCTCCACGACCCCAACGACTCGTCCCACCACCCGGTCGCCAAGTCCCCCAAGTCCACCGAGCAGCCACTCGGCCGCTCACCCCCCACCAACCAGTACACCAAGTACGGCGTCAAGGTGCTCCCGGCCCTCGACCCCACGGCCATCCACCGCGTGGAGAACCAAAACGAGCACAACACCAACCTCGAGAGACACCACTCGAGGAAACTCGACAAGACCAACCCCAGCGCCGAGCCGTCGGTCGTCCTCGTCGTGCCACCGGACGCCAACGGCATCGACGTGCCCGACCGGGTCTCCGACAACACCGAGGTGAGTCAATCGTGTGTTTTATATATACATATATGTATACCGGGCGTGGCTGAGCAAAGGTTTGTGGCTGCAGGTGCCGACGGAGGTCCACAACGCGGGGATGGCGGCGCGGAGGAACCGCAAGGGCGCGGAGCCCACACAGAGACAGCGCTCGACCGAGTCGTCCACGGAGCTGGAGGACCCACCCGCCGGGGTGACCAAGAAGACGAGCGGCAAGAGGAGGGCGCCGGCTCCACCGGCCAGGACAAACTCGAGCGACGGGGAAACCGGCAAGGAGGAACCGTTGGAGGTGAGTTCCAGGGGTATATATACAATATGCGTTCAAGAGTCTGAGCTGTATGTGCTTTTTTGGCCTTTTTTCCCAGGAGAAGGTGTCGGTGGGTGTAGAGACCGAGGTCCCAAAGAGCGCGGGGCACGTGGATTCGGCCGACGTGACGGTCCACGACGCCCCGGACGAGGACGCGGACAGCGTGTACCGGAAGGCGGCGAGCCTGGGCGACCTGTCCAAGTACGAGAGCCGGGCGTCGCCGGGGACCCTGGAGCGGGCCCAGAGCCTGGACATGACGGGCGAGAAGGGGGCGGGCTCGAAGAGGCGGGCCAAGCAGCCCAGCCCGCAGCTCCAGAGCCAGGCCGAGGTGGCGGGCGAGCCGGGCGAGGTTGGCAGCAGTAAGTTAAAAAAATCGAGCGAGTGGGGCACCCTCGAGGACGCCATCAGAGCCGACGACTCGCCCGCTCCCGACAAGGCCGAGTTGTACAACCTGCCGCTGACGAGGCAGCTCACCCACGACTTTATCAGGGCGGAGCGGCTCTTCGACCCGGAGGAGGACAACGCCCTGGCGCGGCTGGCCGACGACAGAGGCCGCGTCGTCAAGTCCCCGAGTCCCGAGGCGGTCGAGGCCGAGTTCCTCAAGGAGCACCCACCGCCGGACTACAGCGACGACGACGAGCCGGTGGTGGTGGTGGTCGAGGATCCCCTGGAGGAGCACAAGGTGTCGACCGAGGACGTCGAAAGGGTCATCCGGTACTTTGACGCGATGGCGAGGGACAGCCCAAAGCCAGAGGAGGAGCTCTACATTGGTAGGGAGGAGGTGGTGGAGGAGCCGGTGACCAAAGAGACGCGGAGCTTGGGGTGCCCGGGGTGCGAGCACCGGCACGAAAGACACGTGGCCGAGTGCGCCAGGAGGGAGGAAGCCGAGGACGAGCCGTCGTACCGGCAGACCATACGAGTTGAGGAGGAGGGCGACAAGGAGGGGAGTCACTCGTTCGAGACGCACTTTGCCAAGCCGATCATCAGCGTAGCCGACACCAAGGAAGAGGAGGGGGAGGTAGTGGTGGCTCGCGTGAGCGTCTCGAGCGAGGACGGTGCCCCGAGGATGGCCTACGTCACCGAGATCACGGTCCCGGCCGTGGAGGAGCTGCTCAGCGAGAACGAGGAGATCATCGCCATCATGGAGGGGGGCAGCAAGCCGGCCGGCACGACAAAGGTCACTCTCAACTCCAACGGGAAATTGCCTCCCGGGGTGAAGCCACCGGTGCCCCCGAGGCGCTCCGACGCCACCGCGAGGTTCGGCTCGGCGAGGAGCGTCGCGTCCGAGGGGACCACCGTGGACGGGGGCAGGCAGGTCGTGTACCTATCGGAGGAATCGGCGAGGAGGTTCCCGGCCAAGGACGAGGACGCCGAGCAGGTGGAGATCAACCCCTGGGACAACAGAGCCGGGCACAAGTGAAGCGACTCTTCTTCTTTTTAGTGCGCGATGTAAACACAACGACGTGAACTGCCGGATATTGATGTGTCGTGTCCAAGAGTCGCTGTGGTAACGATTGTTTGCTAGAAAAAGCCGGTCTTTGGTCAATGAAAACGGGATCATTTCGTTCCGAGTACGATTGGTACTTATAAACGAAAGGTCAAAATTTCGGCAAGTTGTATATGTACCGTTACAACGTCATTTCGGAATTTTTACTTTTCGCAAGTCAGTCATTTACGACGTATCGTACTCTGAACAAAATTCACCGAAAAAAAAAAAAAAAAAAAAAAAAAAAAAAAAAAAAAAAAAAAAAAAAAAANTTATCGCGTAATACGTAATATATATATATACTTTTTTTTTTCATATTCATATATGTAAATTATTTTTAATATCAATGTACTTAATGCTCGTTAATACCTATACTCTTACTTAGTTATTACTATAATTTGCAATCATTGTCTCGCCGTGACCCTCGCGTTTTTTTCTTTGTCATCATTAATTCTAATATCTTAATCTCGCGCTTATCGCTACAATCGCCTTTTTTTTTACTTTTTATTTTATTTTGTTTTATTGATTTTTTTTGTTTTTTTGTTTTTTTTTTGTTGAAAGTCATCGGACACAAAATTTTCGTCGTCAAAGTTGACCAGCTTCGTAAACACACATCATCCCTTTCGTCACACGCATGCACACACATGCACATTTATACACCTTTAACTAATGCGCGAACTCCAAAATCCTTGGAAAGTGGCACTTGTTTGATTATCGCACGATAACTAGTTTTTGTTTTATTTTTATTTTTCTTTTATTTAAGTACTTTCTTCTTCAATAGCATTACAATTTATATTTAATAATACACCGCGCATCCCTTAGTTCTTGATTTTCAAGAGGACAAAGTTAATTTTGTTTGTTTGTTTGTTTTGCTTTAACTATCTTAGTTACGTAAATAATGCACTCAGTGACCCTCTCGATTCTCGATTTTGGAGTTTCGCATTTAAATACCTATTCTCACGGCCGATTGTGCAAACGGCGACAATCGACGGGGTATCGTTATACCCTGACGTTACATCGTCGATTTCGCCTCGTAATTGTTTACTGTTATTTATACTTTACTTTAGTACCGATCAACAAACTCTGCATAGTCTCTCTCACACAATTCCATAATGCTCTCACGTCATATTCATTGCTATACAATGTGATACAAATATATATATTTTTAACAAAATACAAACAAAAAATCAATGGTTGGGTTTTGGTAAACATTACACTACTCTTTCCATTTTTACAAAAAATCATTAATTATAATCTTTAAAGTATAGAAAAAAAAAAAAAAGTCAATTGGCCTTCACACGGTACAGACATTAGCTACTTTGAAAATCCAATCAACCGTTCGTTTAAATTCTATTTGTTTACTTTTTTCTCAAACGCCCTCGCGAGCAAAAAAAAAAAAAAAAAAAAAAGTTGGTGCCACAAACACATATTTTATGTAACTAAGATGAAGTTTCGTAGATTTATACAAAATGGTGCTTGTCAAGATCCATTTATCAAGTATGAGAGTTGTTATTATTGACACTTTTTTGTATTGTACATTTTAGTCTACATAAATAATTATACGTGTATGTATGCATGTACATACATGATCAATACAATCATTTTATTGGAAGATAGTCATTTATGTAACAAATAAATAAAATTGTTTACCATAGTCGAAATTCACTCACACTAGATGTTTTCATTCCTTTTCATTCAATCATCACATACATTCATAAGGCTTTTATGTAACTAAAACAAGCAGCTTAATTTTGCTGAACAATTTTGGTCCTAAGGCACCATTAAAAATCAATACGTAAGACATTAGATCGTAAAATATATAATTTGAGTCTTGATAACGTACAAATACATCAATAAAGGACCAACCCAGATCACGATCAGTTTATGTTGAAATCAAAATAATTACTTCACTAAGGACTTTTCACCTTTACAAAAACTGTAAGATGCATTTGCGTATTGATTGAGCCTAAGAAACTTATTCTTGGTAATTCAGCGTTTTTTAATCCATTATAAATTTCTCTCTTTCCATACTATAGGTAAATTTATTAAATCTTTTTGCTGATTGTACGTAAAATTAAAAAGGAAAATTTTTTAGATAAAGATTTATTTTAAAACTATTTCACCTAAAAAAATATATCTACATTTTTATGATAAAGTCATCCATGTATTCTTACACATGTACTTTAAAATTCATCAAATCTCTCATTATATCGTATTGCAGCGACTTGAGGCTTAACTCAATAATAATGAATAGATTTTTATAAGACAATTGTAACAACAGTTCCAATCATAAAGCGGAAAAGCCACATTTTACCAAAACAAAGTGTTTACGTAGCTGATTGTCTGTAATTCTTGGTGCTCATAAGTTTTTTACCGCATAAAGCACAGATAGCCTTTTTGTAAGCACACGGCTGACAGTAGTGAGCCCCAGGTTGATGAACTTTCGAGCGACATATTCTGCATATTCCAAATTTGGATGTATAGGGATTGAATCTGTTTTTACCTCCAGTTAACGCTTTGTTTTCTCCTACCTTACGACCTCCGCTTTCTACCGTGTTCCTGGCACCAGCTTTCCATGGATCTGGTGTAATGACCTTTCCAAGCTTCTCTTCACACTTTTCGCAGACCATGTCGAAAGTATGACCTTGAAAAACATTGAACAACATTACTTCAGACATACTTACTGGGCATTTTGTTACAAGAAACATTGCAATTTTGTCTAATTTGAGGTTAGAAAACTGATGTAAGGATCAAACGACTCTCTCAAAGTACTTACTAGAAAACTTTGATTTTTTAAATTATTCTTTAAAAAGTAGTGCTGTAATGACGATTCCTTCGTAGTTGAAGTATCTTGGAAATATTTGTGCCACTATTTTTATACATAGAGCCTTGTGCAAAAACGGAGCATAACAAAAGTGTTTACCTTTGATGACGTTCGGATTTCGCGAGAGGGCTGATTATTGAATTCTTCGATACACGCAAAACGCAATAGCATTCGAGATTTACTGTCACATTATACCTTTGAACATCAAAAAGTTATCTTTCTGTTACGTTTTCGTCACAAGTTTGGTGTTGTGTGACGGTAAATCTCGAACTTTATTGCGTATATCGAAGCAATTACAGACGACACATCATGTGTCTCTCTCTCGGCGTTAATGCGCGAAATTCAAAATAAAATTCTCAACGCAATAAAAATTTATACCATAAACATATTATATACTTCATTGAACATAAATTATAATGTGAGTTGTGACAAAAATTAAAGGATTTCTTAATGTGGAAAATTTTCAAGGTAATGCAAAGAAAAACACCACTGACATATAGGACAACCTTTATTAATTAATCGTTCTCTAGTTACAATGTAATATCATTAGAGTGTTAGTAATAATTACATAATAATAGTTATCGCGTAATCCGTAATATATATATATACTTT